CAGGGTTTTAAACACTGCTCACAGCAGGGGCCTTTATTCCCCTGGAGGTTCAGATTGTTGCTCCCTACCTCTGGTAGGGACACACATACACAGACCAATGCCACTCTTGACTGCTTGTGCTTCCTTATTATACCTCTCTGCACATTTGCAACTGAGCCCTCAGCCCACATCAGGGCCCCTCCACTGCCAGCAGCACCATTTTGGGGGAGCTGGCAGTCACTGAAAGCATCCCCACATCCCTGGAAGGCTGAACCTAACCAAGAATACACTGACCCAGCTTGACAGAGCCGTCCATTCCGAGAAGGATGTTGCAGCTCTTCACATCTCGATGGATCACATGATTCGAATGAAGAAAATCCAGTCCTTGTAGGCACTGAGAGAGAAATAGAAACAGGGGGACAAAAATGAGTGATGTGATTTCATCACACAAGCAAGGAAACAGCTGTAAAAATTCCCTTTGCAGGGGAATGGGGAGTAATGGCAGAACACAGTGTCACTGAGAGGAAGAGTCAGCAGAGAAGCTCAGCTCCTGCTGCAATAGGAGCAGAGCAGGACCTTTGTCAGGAAAGGCATGGCAGCTTTTGAAACAGCAGCAGCAACTGCTGTTGTAGACTGTCCCCTGCAAACCAGCAAGAGTCACTGCAGCTGCAGTGGATGTCCTCTCCCCATCCAGAGAACAAAGGAAGGCTCTCCAAGACAGGAAAAAGTCCCTCCCTTTGGTGTGAAGCGGATCACTTTTGGGTGGCAGGCTGCATGACAAAGGATTTACTGCTGGCCTCAGCAGAGACTTGGAAGTATCACATCAGTCACCTGCCAGAAGCAAAGAGCATTTTGGCTGCACTACTACCCTTTCCAGCTGAGGACTGTGAGAAATGAGTCACTTTCTTCTCTGCTGTTCATTTCAAATCCTGACAACCAGCACCTTTGCTTTTACAGGCAGGGAATGCAGTGCAGACAGGCTCAAGATAAATGTTTAGAGAGGCAAAGTGGAGAACAGCAAATCCAAATACAAGCAACAGAGTTAGAATACAACAGCAGGAGATAAGAATACAAGAAGTGAGTACAATGAGTGTAGGGGCACTGGCAGACAGTTCACTTGAGGTGCTCTTGCTTGCCCATAGCGTACCAGCAACACAGAAACAAAGCCTGGCACATGAAATCACTCCCATTCAGAGTCCTAGTTCCACAGACAATCCTGCCCAAACCCTTGGAAGTATAGATGGGATCACTGACCTCCCGACTGATGGCTGCCATCTCATCTTCAGACAAGTGGGTCTGGCTGATAACATCACTCAGAGTGCCTCCGTCCATGTACTCCATCACCAGCCACAATTGCTCATCCACAAGGTAGCTGAAAGAAGGAAACAAGTACATGGAGACACACATGCATGGCTACTTTGGTTTCTTGGTTGAGTCTTGTTTCTAGGTGTCTTTGTGACAAGGACAGAATAACAGGAATAGCCATCCCCTCTAGGCTGTGCAGTGTTTGCAATCTGTCTCAAGAATAAAGATGCAAACTGCAAAAAGGAGATGTCTTTAGGTGGCCAGCAAGTGAAAAATGCAACTTAGTAACAGATAAGAAATCCTGTCACACCATGTGGTTCTGGAAACAAGCACATAGTCTTTCTGGCATGGACAGCAATGGAAAAAAGGGGAGCCAATTCAAGGGAAATCCTTGTTTGTTTATCAGCAAGTAAGAAATCATTTGAAAAAATCAAGCCCCCAAAGAATTCGGTGAGTACGTGAACTTACAGGCTATTGATTTAGTAAGATATGACTGATCCAGGTTTTTGAGCAATTCTCAAACTACATGTGCCAGAGAAGATTCATGCAGACAAGATGCACTCTCTAACGATACATTGGAGATGAGCAATGTCAGGAAAATAAATTCACAAACACCAGAGGTCTATGTCAAAAAATTTTGAATAAAGGGAGGGACCATGGGACATTCCCCTGGGATCTCTCAAATTTTTGGAGGGCACAGCCTCCTTTTCATCCTCATTTGCCAGCCGCATGTCCCTTCTCTCTTTCCCTATTGGCTGAGGTACTTGAGCGGTACACACTTCCTGGAATGCCTAATACCTAAGATTCCCCTCCAATGTATAACACCCCACGTAATTCTTAACTCTTGTGGAATTTATGGTGTTTCCCCATGTCCTCTCAGCAATAATAATTTACCAGTAATTAACAGCTCAATTTTCTGCCAGTGTCCAAAGCGGGTTTTTGCCTTGCATGTCTGCAGTATGTAAACAAACATTCATGGGCAAAAAGCGCAACAACTCACCTGTCTAAACAGGTAACCACATTGGGATTCCTATTCTTCTTCAGGACCATGAGTTCATTGACTCTTAGTCCCTTCTTCCTCAGTCCTTGGAGATTTATTTTCTTTATGGCCACCTAAAATGACATTGAAAATCAGTAACTTAAGAAGCTGGTGGCACAAGACCACAACGCACACGGCGCGAGTGATTTTGCAGTGACACAGCCGAGCTGTGCCAAAGTGCCTTTGGTTAGACATTGGAGTAATTAGGAACTGACATTCCAACAGCCCAATTCTCTGCTCCCTTGGGGGCCAGTGACAGGACACATGGCCACTGACATTTTGCCTTGCCCACTTGGCAACAAAGATGTCCCAACTATCACCCACAAAACTCCTACCACACTCTTTTCTGCTCAGTCTGGGATTCAGAAGAAACACTCCATCCCTTAGTTCTCAGTGGATACATCATGTGCTATGGGCAGGGCTTGGGGCTTTTAGGAGCACCTTGCAGATCTCTCCCTGCATGTGGCTCCCAAGTGCAGTACTGCAGGTGGCTAAGCAGCTACCAGTAACATTCAGATATATTTGCTGGCAGTCAGAAATGAGGATTCAGGACTCTGAATTGTAGCCTCAAAGAGCAGTGAGATGCCTTAAGGCATCACCTCTGTTTTAGCAATTGAGAGCGAGTGGGCTCCTTGCCTTCCTACAGGCACCTGAGAAGGACAAAGACTGTCCCAAGTGCAATTTGCAGGCTGGCACCAGTCTGTGCTTCTTGTGCCTTTTCAGCACAGCTCTACCCAAAATTCCAGCCACAGCTCCCATCAGTGGGGAAACGCCTCGAGAGCAGCAGAGTCTGTGAGTGCTGTTGACATTTACCTCTCCTCCTGTGGCAGTGTCGAGTGCTCTACAAACCTCCCCAAAAGTCCTAGAAACAAAACAGCAGCAAAGAAAGGAGAAGACACTTAGATCTTGGACTGAAAGTCAAACCACATAGGATTTCCTATGCAAGTGTCTAAAAGCTGCAGGATGCAGGAGGGGTCTACCAGAAGGCAGATGATGCATTTTCCCCTCAAATCCATGGGCAATGGGCCAGTTCCTGAAGTGTTGGGCTTTCCTGCCTCAGCTCAAAAAGACATCTTATTCCTTCATCTCAGGTATCAGTTTCTAAACTGTGCAGTTCTAATCCTGAGCATGGAGTATTTCCTTTAGCAAACTCTGGGAAAGAAATGCTCCTGAGAACTGTTATCTGACAGCTCTCATTGGTGGTAGCTTCTTCTCCTTTTATTAGTGTGGATGTATGATTTGGAGATATGCAAAAACGCTAAAGAAATTACCACAGAGCTGTCCCACACTTGAGAGACAAGGCTGTCTTCTTCCACGTCCTCCTCCTGCTGCAGGCAAGACCATGGCAGCATGGAGATGTCTTTGACAATGCCTTCTGACCACACTTGCCAATTTGAGCCAGCACTGAGAGAGATGGGACAATCTATCCCCAGTGTCTGAACATGTTTGCAGCTTGTCTGTCTTCATACTTGGTAGATATTCCACTAGAAAAACACCTGGCCCATGGTTTTGGAGAAGTAACTGGGGTTGGACTCACCCACTGCCAATATTTTCCAGTTCAGTATACTTCGTCCTGGGATTTTCTATGTTCACCATTTTCCCTGAGGGAAACAAATACAAGATGCTCACTTTAAAACAGAGAGCCCAGCTTCCAGGAGATACAAAAGGCTACAGACACACTTGTAATTCCTTGTTCAACTGTTCTACATCCTCCCACTGAGTCCACTTTTCCTGCACCTTCTTTGACACATGCTGACCCCTCTCCTTCTCTGATTTTGGCCGTTCCTGTGCCTCACATCCACCTCGGGACTCTTCATCTCCACTCATTTGCTGGATGCCTTCGCAACCTGGCTGGTGAGATGTCAACACTTCCACCTCAAGTCAAACAGAATAAAACAGTCAGAGACTACAGCTTGGCCCTGTCAGCCAAGAGTCATTGACTGTGAGGAAAGGGACAGAGCAGGTTTATAAGGGATACAGACAGCTGGTTTCAATCCCCCCTCTGGGTCACCATGTTCTCCTGTAAAAACACCTCAAGAAACAAGGCCAGCAGGAACAGGCCAGCAGGAATCAATTAGGATGACTGCTGGCCAAAAGGCCAAAGGATTAGTCCCATTGCTCAGGGCAACATTTGAGAGTCAGCACACTAGGAAATGCCCTTCAGAGTGGCTGTGATAGACACTACAGCAGGATGGCACTCAGAGGCATCCCACTACCCCTCTATGCTCTGCAGTGGAAAGGTGACAAGGGCAGAAAACACCAGACTGGTGACTGCAGTGTCTATTGCTGTTTCACTCACTTGCTTCTGTAGAGTCTGAGGGAGGGGACTAAATTTCTCTCTGATAGTTTGCATTTCTTCCTCCATCAACTTCTCCCTTGCGTTGAACTTAGCTTTGGTTTCATGCAGCCGGGATTGCAGCTTTTCCTTGATGTATTGTAAAAAGCAAGAGAGTGGAAGTTTTGTGAATGGAGTGGCTGCAACTCTTTCACTCTCCTGGTTTTGTTGATTGCCCTTCTGCTGATGAACTCTTGTCTTCTCTTGGATGGTTCTTATGTCTTCCTCGTGCCTCCTCTTCACTACCACAATGTTATCCTGAGCTTCAGGCAACTCTGCTTGTGTCTCTGCCTTGATGCACTGTACGTAAAAATGGAGAACAAGTGACTTGGCGCTTCCATCAGTCTGAGCTTTTTCCTCTTTCACCCTCAAAATCACACTCATTCAGTCACTTCTTTCTGCTTCCCCCCCATCTCTGCTTCCACTGTAACCCTCCTGTCCCAGTACTGATCACTGCAGACTACAAGGCTCTGTGTTTTCAGTGCCTCGGGGACTCCTGGCCTCCTCAGTCCTTCTGGCTTGTTCTCTGCCCATGGGGAGACACAGATTCCAAAGTGACACTGGCAGTACAATCAGGGTCCAGCTGGGTCTGAATCCCCAACAGACTCTTGGGCAGCTGACAGGAAATGTGTGCCATTTCTCAAGGGTCTGCTGAGGGCCTCCCTCCCCTTCTGCTCTGTCCTCTTTGTCTTTCCATAGTCACTCACACTCAGCCCTGTCTCACAGCTCCATCCTGGCCCCGCAGGTGGTTTCCTGTGTGATTTCATCCCTTGTGAGAGACACTTGTGGAGTTCATGTTCTCTTCAGGCCTGTACCACCATTCCTGCCTTTCTGACATCTACACTATTGTTAGAAACTTTGGTCATTCAGGAGATTAGGATGTGTGCAATTTGATCCTCTGATGAAGGTCAGAGAGCCCCTATGGCCACCTGAGTATATGGAAGAGGACCAAGGTGTTTATCCTCCCTCTTTTGTCAGCTGAGAATTCTGAGCGGCACTAACAGAGATCCTCCAAAGGCCCCATCAACAAATGAATTGACACACCCCTAGGGATGCCAATGAAGGAAACCATGTGTCATGTAATGCATGTAAGACCAGAGTCACCAAAAACCACCTACAACATGGAAGAGTTACACCTCATTAGGAAAGGCAAAAATTTAAAGAATAAATTGGGGATTCAGTGCAGAAGAGACTAGTGCAGGAAAAAAGCTCTGAGAGGAAAAAAAAATAACCAGGTTTACAGGGTGAAAAATCACTGCCTACTCAAGACAGAGAGATGGATGGATGGATGGATGGATGGATGGATGGATGGATGGATGGATGGATGAATGAATGGATGGATAGATAGATAGATAGATAGATAGATAGATAGATAGATAGATAGATAGATAGATAGATAGATAATAGCTCTCAGATACGGAGATCTGATTATTACAGATAAACTGCCGGTACTATCCTTTCTGTCTCTACACACATCAACACTTGGTAGCCAGTGCCCCCATCAGCAGCAATGCTGAACTTGCTCTCCTGTTGCTTCAATAAATCACACTCTCGGGGAGTCTGGAGCACGCTGGTTCTTACAGAATGTAATCAGACCCAGAGCACTGCACTGGGAACTGCACTCTTTGTCCATCTGTGCTCAGACAAGTTCTTCTTTTAGACTCACCTACACGGATGGTGCCTAAAGTGGCTGTAACCAGAAACAAAGCTCAGCCTTTCCCAGTTCCACTGATCTCTGAGGAGCAGCTGGAGTGCAAGGAATTTACCTGGATTACATGGATTACCTGCCCAGTTCCCAAACACAAAAAGTACCATTCCCATGCCAGTAGCTGGAATTTCAGCTGCCAAACACTGGAATTTCAGCTGCCAAACACACGAACACTGTTAATCAGAAAGTAAAGTGCAAGCGCCTACAATTGGCCAACAACCAGAACAGCTCATTCTGAACCAAATTCGCAGCCTTAAAGAAAGTGTCCTGCGAAACTGCTCCATAGATCAGAGCTGCAACGAGGAAAAAAAAAAAACTTAGCCAGAAAAAATAAACTTGATTATCAGGATTGCAAGTATAAGAAACCACAAGAAAACTCCTAGATCCTTTTCCGCCCCCTACCCAACTTTTTCTTCTCCTAACTGACTACGCAGACACAAAACTTGGGATGGTAAAGCAGAACTAACTATACACTAGACTTATATGAGTTTTTGTAGGGTGAGGACGGGGGGGGGGTTGGTTACGGTAGGGAGACTTGTTTAGAGAAAAGCAGGTTCTTGGTGTTTTTTCATTATCAGGAATTGCAGGAGCCCTGGAAAAATGTTGCTATCCTCATATCCTTCGCATTTTCACAGCTTTCTTATAAGGGTGTTTATGGGCTAGGAACT